AATGCATGAATTTAAAGACGGGGCCCATGAAGATGCACCAAGGGAGACAAAATTGTCAGAACTGTGTCTTTGAAGAGGACTAGCCAATTTAATACTCTTGACCTGTCAGTTAAATATTCCGGGGTATGATATAAAATCTTTCTCTATTACTTACGGTATATATGTTAGTAAAGATGTTTTGACGTTTTGTTCGACATGAGACAAAAGCATGTCATAACGGAAGATATACAGAACACCTGGACATAAATGGTTTGCACTTTTTTTTCTATCTCGGCTTACCCTTTGTTTCATTTGACAACCTTTACTTAATCATCATATGTGGCATAACTATTATAGTGGACATGGAATGTTCAAATTTATTTAAATAGTTGAGGAGGTATTGGTTTAATTTACATTTTATTTAGCTACTTTGAATTTTATATTATTGAGTGGTATGTACAAAATGGATCATTTGACTCTTCTTTCCTCTTCTCTTTTTGATTTCACACAGGTGTCAGACTATCAACATTTCTGCGCCGATTCACAAAGGCAAGTCGTCAACGAAACGTACTGATACTTTTCTTGCATTCATTCTGATATTTCTTACGGTGGATCCTTGATGGAGCGTGCAACAAAATAAGATTTGGGCTGGAAATAACACTGTGTCTTGCGTCACATTTGCGTGTGTGACGCATTAAAGCCAGGGGATACGAAATTCGACTCGAGAATTGCTGATTGAATCAAGTTTCAAATTTCATCTGGTTCAATAGTTACAAATAAAAAAGGAAGAATAAGACAAACTAAATTTAAGTGAAATTATGGTATAATGAACTTTTTTGTCATTTATCTTCGTTATATCTTACATTAGGTCACGATAATGAAATCGAATTACGGACATGTCTTACACAACTCATTCTGCTGGCGGCCATTTCCTTGAAGATGAATGGCAGATTATTAGGGACAATTCATGATCTTTAATCCAGGGGGAAATATATATACGAGGAAGAATATAAACGAAAAAGAAATGATAAAAAATTTTCCCAATACTAATGGATTTATTTTTCTTATGTTAAAATTAATTTGGTTTTCGGAGAAATTTTGTTAAATTTTACGTCAGTTTAATATAAATGAAATATATCACAAGCATTGGTATAGTTACAGAGTTTTGAGGAGGAAGTTGATTATGGCACAAAAATCAAGCATTCAGTAGATTGATTTTAAAATTCGATTTGCATTTCGATTAACATTTCTTCAAGGAAAATTTTGTTCGGAATGTAACGCAAGTATCTGTGACTTTATTGTTAGAATTTTGAATTTTGATTAATTTTCTTAAATTTACTGCTCTGAGTTCGAAGATTATGAGAATATTTACATAGTACTACATGAAGAATAAAATTTATACAGTATAAGAACTTTTTTATTAATAGTGTTTTTCTTGGTAGCTGAACTGAAATGGAATCGGTCTGGTAATATTTTAACGATTTTCCTGGTAACGTCAATAGATGAAAGAGGCAGTCCTATACTAAGATTGGGATGAGGCATGCGCGCATCCAGGAATTATTTCCAGGGGTTCCACACCAATGGATCAAAGAATTTTTCACACGAAAGAATGCAGAAATTTTTCTCCAGGGTGTGTAAAAGAAACAAATAACGGACCCGGAAATTATTTTCAAAAAAAAAAACGTTGGAAAAAATGTGAATTAAATAGTCATATGAAATAAAATGAAATTCAAAATGTAACATTTGTGCAATGTAAGTTAAGGCAGGACCTGTAGTTACTTAGAGCAGGTTCAGTTCCATGATTCCCTTACCAGAACAAGTCACTTTCTTAAGGATTTTCTTCAATTGATATATTTTCAAAAACCCCTGGTAATTAATGCATGCAAATTTTTTGTCTATGAACATCTGATTTCACTATAATCTTAAATTAAGAATATCTTGAAAAAATTTCAGTAGGTAAGGTACGTTGCGTATGTCCTTTAGTCCATTTTTTCCTTCAGATATACTACTGTTCTTGCCATTTTTCGAGGGGTCCGTGGTGGTGAGGGGGGTTCCAAGGTAATTTTTTCGTTACTTTGCACACAAATTTAATATCTCTAAAAATCCCAGGGGGGTGGGGGGTCGGTCCCACCCTCCATAACCCATCCACCTCCCCTTTAGATCCGCGCATGTGAGGTCAGTATACAAACAGGAAAATTATATAAAAGACATGGAGGGAGACTTTTTAATAGGAATAGGATTCAAGTGCAGAATTCCCGAATTTCTTGGAGCAGACACAAAGCATATTAATGTATATCACTCGTCAGTTTAAAAAAAAATTAAAAAAAAAAAAAGATTGGTAAGAACCTCTAATATTATCTAATTATCAGTAACACTTCGATTTTTATAACATATTTAAATCAAATAATACTTCTTCTTACCGCTCAGCACTAAAACCACAAGCATGACATATGAAAATAATACATTGAATGTTTAGATTTTTAATAACAAAAATATGGTATTTTATTGGTTCAAAAAAGTCACATAAATTTTTTTAATTAGCAATTTTTTTCAATAATATATTTTATCTAACTTTTTACATAAATAAAATTATATCTATCTATCTATCTATCTAAAGATGCCTTGCTTACATCTGATGAAATATGATTGATGTTAAATTGATTAATAAAAAAAGTTACAATTTAAGTGCAAAAAGCCAAGTTTATTGTACTGTTGTTTTGTGATATGCACACTGACCACCAATTTTCTTTCCAATTTTGAGTTGTGCTTTATGAGTAGATATCTAAAATATACTTCTAAAATAATCCTTGATATAACCAGTGGTAGGAGGGACATGCCTTAAAGACATGCTCAAAAGAGTTCAGAATTTATTTTATCATATTTTTAAATTATATTTTGAATAATTGTCCAATTTAGTATGAAATCTTAAAATATTCAGTTCATATCATCGAGTCTCAACTCGTAGGAAACTGTAAAATTCGTCAAAAAATCGTAAGACTCGATGTCTCATGCAACACCCTCTCTCCGGGCAGGGGTACCTGTTCAAGAATCTTCAAATATATTAGGCAACCTTTAGTGATTTGATAATTTGTTTGTCCTCTAAAGATCCAGTATTTCATCTATGGATCGATCCTTTTTACAAAGAGTATGTGAGAAAATTTTAAAATTTATGTTATTGATAGGTTCCACGTGCCATTTTGAATCGAGTAGTTCTTCAAAGGAAAATATGTCCCCTTGACACAAGCGGTGTTATATTGGATTTTAAAGCAGACAGCAAATACTCTCAAGGTTTTGCAAAATTTCATTTCTTTTATAAAAATAAATGACCTATTTTTAGTTCCATGGCAACGGCAGCTATTTTGGATATTTAAACACCGGAATCTTGGAGAGAAACTTACACATCAATATTATGTACATTTAGTTTGAAATACAATTGGAAAAAATTCCTTTTTGTTTCCATGGTTACAGTTATAAAATTTGTCCAACCGATTTCATTGTATCAATATTTTTTCAGAAACCATTTTAAGTGATCAAACGAATAAGATTTTAATGCTTCGCTTCGTATATTTCAGTGGAACTGGTTGCCATTTGGAAGAAGGGACATTTGCAACATTATGTTGTCCCCTGCCCCCCCCCCCCCCCCGCGACTACATAAGTACAGCCAAGATATTTATGAGGGGTTGGCTTTGGGGGAAATCGCACTATATAACTATTTTACAAAGTAAGATTTCCTTTCAGAAAATTGAATCTGATGTGGGATTTTTGTAGGGGAAGTCCTTCTCTAGAGTCATTTTCTGTGGGGGAAATCCAACTCTAGAGCCTATTTTCCGGGGAAAAATCCTACTCTACTCTAGAGTCATTTTTGCGTGGGGGAAATCCTTCTCTAGGGCCTATTTTTCAGGGGGAAAATCCTACTCTATAGCCAGCTTTCGGGGGGAGGGGGGGTAGAGGGGAAAGCCTATTCTACAAGACCGGTATGTTAAATTTGATATAAAAAATTTGCACCATCTTAACCCCAGAGTCTATGATCCTGAATCCTAACACTTTGGAAATTTTGCATATTAATATAATTTTGTTTGGTCCTGCAACTCTGGAAAAGATTTTTTTAATTTCCTATATATAGTCTCATGTAAAACTATTTTAGACCCTGGGGGCCATTTTTTGAACAAACTTTAATCTGCACTACCCGAGGATGTCGACATATTAATATGACTGATGATAACCCTCCTGTTCTTGAGATTTTTCATATATATTCTATTATAAAACTTTCATACCCTACTGTGCCCCCTCCCTACCCTTAGGGGCCATAATGTTTTCATATTAACAACACTAACCATGGCTTTAATATTCGTAAACAATTTTCAAAGACTTTCATCTCCTGGGCTACTGTGACCCACCCGCTTTGAAGCAATCTGAATCTACGCCACCTTAGAATGCCTGCATATGATACTATTATGACTGAAGATGACTCCCCTGTTCTTGAGATTTTTTAACGAGTTTCCCTATATACCCCATTGTGTAACTTTCATCCCCTACTATGTTCCTATCCCTGGGGGCCATGACTTGAACAAACTTCAATTTAATATACATGTACTTGTATGTTATACAGTCATGTATGACTAATGTAAATGGCCTTGCTGTTCTTGAGTTGACATTTGAATTATTTTCCCTATATACTTTTTTTTATGTTTAACTTTGACATGTTGAGGCCCCATCATGAATTGATCAAACTTGAATCTTTAATAAATTAATACACGAAGAAGTTTTCCTCTGTAATGTAATTGGGGGGGGGGGGTCTGGTATTGGGGTTCTCGAGTAAAATATTTTTTTTTATTTCCTATATTAGCTCTTTATTTGAATCTGAATCCACTTCATCGAAGGAGGCTTTGCGGCAAGTTTGGCTGAAATTAATCCACCGGTTCTGGAGAAGAGGAGATTGCAGGAAAAAGATGTCTGAAGACACAAGTTCAGGAATGCACAAGATATGTTAAATGGTCGCTAATGACACAGTACACAGTAACAATGGTTACAAACATTTATTATCGGACAGGAACATTAGTTTTAGGTATGCCAAATACAATTAACAAGTCAACAATAAATAATACAACGAAGGTAAAAAATGTACAGATATAAATGGTACGAAATAAATAAAGAGTTATCAATACATGTAATATTATAAAAGTGAAAATTTGTAAGTTGTAAGGCCATGTGTGAAAAGGCGAATTAAAATACACAGGGAAATAATTGTGTCAAGCTACAGTATATAAAGCAACATAAAATGTACATTCTTACCCAAAGTTACAAACTGATACATTTGGAGTATAACCATTAGTATCTCATTGCACAAAAGCAAGAAGAGTATTTGATGCAGTTTTCAAGAAACAAAAGGTCCATGGGCCACAATGCTCATCTGAGTTGCAATACACCTACACTGAATGAAGCTATTGAAACCTTCAACTAAAAGTCCATTATTTCAACATTAAATGTCTGTTTATAGAACTGGTATTATTATGGTGCTTGGGTTTATAAATTATATATGAAGTTTTTTTGTTGTTCCCGCAGAAGTTCATATATTTACATATAAAACTGAAGCACTTTACTTTAAAACAAGTATGATCAACTTTGGTCCTGTTGTTCTGGAAAAGAAGATTTCTAAAGATGTTTCCACCCTTGCCATACTGACCATGATTTCAATCATTTGAATACACAATTTATAAGGTACTTCCATATCAATTTGATTTATTGAAGTCCAGTATTCTAGAGATTTTTAAAGATTTTTACCTATATGATCCCATGTGAAACTCAGCACTGTTTTGTGGACTCAATAAAGCTCCAGGGGCAATGATTTGAAGGATATAGAATGTACCCCTTTGGAAAGTGACATCACCAGTCCATTAAATGAATTTGAAACTTTATACCAAGTTTTGTTGAAATTGGCCAAACTTACTTTTTCCTGAACTTTACAGCTATCATTAAATTATTACAAAATGAGGCATTTTCACTACATTTGAACCATCCTATTTCAAAAAGATAGGGTAAATAAATACATGGTATAATTATAGGAATTCATTTCCAAAACCTATAGGCTCCTTTTAATTACTTGAACTTGACCTAACAGAAAATTAGACAGACAGTGAAATAGATAGACAAAGAACAAACAATGATTAAATAATTTCACCTGAGCATTTGCATCAGATGAGCTGAAAAAAATTGAAATACATTCAATTTTCAGAAAAGCTTAAAAAAGATTGTCTAAGTAAGCAATGCATACTAAAGTAAGCGAGCCACAGTGTATATTAATGTTAATCGCTCGCATGTTAGTCTATTCTTAAATTTGTTAACCTTTATGCTTTAAACATAGATGTACTTTCCTTGGTGTGCAAAATAGTTGCCGTAAACAATAATGCCATTTTTGTATCTTGAGAGGAAAGACATCTAATGAGAAAGATTTGAAAGAAAATTGATGTGTACATGAGCGTACAAATAACAAAACTGGAAAAGTTGAGCTGAAAGGAAACTGGCTTGGAGAACATGACTGTATTTAACATAAAGTTTCAACAATTAATATGAAAAAAAAAAATCAAATCAAGAACAACAAAGCATTTTTCAAAAAGTTAAAAAAAAACAAACAATCATTTCAATCAAAACATTAAGCTTGCAAGTACTAGTTTATAATATGGTTTAAAGATTTCACCGCTGAAATTCACATGAATGAAAGACAACACAGCAAAAAAAAATATTTTAAAAGCATATAATAAACACAACAGAAGTAATTTCATACATATACAAGGACTACCCGTCCATATCAGTGTTACAAATATTTTCAAAATTAAAGCCACCATTGAATAACCTTAATTACTCTATACACAATTGACCTGACTAGCAAATATAAACAATCTAATATTTCGTATTCAATGGTACATCATATTTCTTGGCACACATTAAAATCACTGTAAGATGTGTCCATTTTGTACATAACTATGGCATTTTCTATTAAATTCATTGTTCCATTCTCTTGGGTTTAAAAAAAGTCTATGGTTGGGAATAGGGGGAAAATTCATACTAAATTTTATACCTTTGGCATTTTAAAAATACTGTATTTTCCCTATATATCATCCCCTAGGGTTAAAACAATAATGACTTCCTAATTCGTTGCTGTATAATGTGCATATTTCTTTTATGTACACTATTTAGAAGCATATATTAAATATTACAAGTATAAAAGTACTTTCAGTATTTAATAGAAAAATTCTTAAGAAATGTGAACCAATAAAGATTGTGGCATGTAAGCTAATGTTAATGAATGAGGAAAGTTGTTTACTAAACAAATCAGGGTTAACCTAACTTCTCATTAATCCAATGTCGAAATTCATACCCAAAAACAGGATTGAGCAAATCTTGTTCCACAAATGTATGGATGACCTAATCAAGTAGTTAAGTATAAGATGATTTGGCTGGACTCTGAAGTCCGATGTACACCGGATTCTTGGCATCAGCGATTACTCTGACCCCCAGGTATGAGATAAATCCCTCCACTGTGAACCCAAGGCCAGAAGCCTCAATGATCTGCTTGTATGCCTCAGCCTCTTTCTGGTACTGAGTCAAAATGGCTTCTGCTTCAGTTTTGGCCCTGAAAAAAGTTAGATATGATTAAGATTTTATCATAAAATTTACTAATGTAACCAACCACCCCCCCTCAAAAAAAAAATCAGAATTTCTATCTAGCAGTGTTTTCTTTTGAACAAATCCATAATAAAATCTTCAGCTTTGTTTCCGTGATACTTCAAAAGATAGATAACTCTTTTAAGTAATTTCCATTCTCATTTAGAGCTGTCACTCTGTTTTACAAATTTTTGCTAATAAAATCTTGGGTACCTGGTCAAAGCTTGTTGAAAATCCAGACTTTTAATAGCATAAATTTGGGAATATGGTGACTTATTTGACTTCAATTCTTTAATATCTCCAAATAAAAGTACACATTGTTTTAAAGTAAAAAAGAATTAACCAAGAAGCATTTCATTCAAATAAAGCTCAGACCTATTGCTCAGGATCCTGGCATCTGATTCTGCCTTGTCTTTGATGATTTCGGCCTGAGTTTCCGCTTCACGTTTTTCCGTCTCTGCCTCTGTCAGTAACCTTGGCCTCTCGTTAAGTGCTACCTGTTAATGGAAAATACAGGCTGAAAATCATTGCTTCTTTATAGTTAAGAAAATATACATAATGTATTTTACATTAAAAGTTACTACTTTTAAAATAATTTAATACAGAAAGCACTGAATCCAAATTAATCAGCTTTCATGAATGTTCATATTTAAGAAATACATGAGATTTTTAGATAGAAAAGATTAAATCAATCACAAAATTAAATAGGATTCCATTAAGACAAAGATTAACTTATAAAATGATCTCTTCCAGAAGTAGGTTATTATTTATTGGACACAGAGTATTACTGTTAGCATAAGGAATAAGATGAGATAATCAGATAATGTAAAATCATTTATTTTCATGGGGTAAAATTTTCATGGTTTGCCCAAAAAATATTTGGGGGTGATTGATTTTGTAGTTGAAGAGTTGAGTTGTTTTTTATTTGAAATTTAACATTTCATTGAGAACAAGAATTCGTGGGTCCCTTCATACCACGAAAACAATGAAAACTAAAGCCCTATGAAAATTAGTGATTTCACAGTCAGTAATTGTTGACAACAGATGCAGCACCTGAATGTCCTCTCTGGCTCGTTCCTTGCTTCTGATGGCACTCTCATACTCCCCGGGTCTCTCAATGTTGCTCACCTTGTGAAAGAATAAAGACAAAAAAAATAATGATGAAAATATATATCAACTGTAGACCTCATTTCATAAATACACATATATGACTGTTAATTACTGATATTTGCAATCAGGGTTTGAAATTAACAGTCGCCCACTCGCAATTTGCGACTAATGTTCCATGTGGGCGACTTAAAATTACGCTCAAGTTGCCAACATGGTGATTAGAAAATTTACGATAATAAATATTTGTTTTTCAATTTTGTCTGAATGTTTTGTATTTTTCTCTTGAAAAATTTCGTAATCGGTAAAGTGCTTTATAATTACCCATAAGAAGTACTTATACATAAAGCGTCTAAGTTATTGTGTCGGGCACAATGTGGCATCGACGGGTCAATGAGCCCAAGAAACCAAAAAGTACTGTTGTTATTTGTGAATGAAAACGTGCCATGTGTGCTCTATATATGATATTGAATGATCATCATAAACAGAAGAGTTCCACTTCAAATTTAGATAAGTCGTGCATAATGTTACAATGGATAGAAAAGAAACACGAAAAACGAAAAGTGGGGTTGTTGTTTTTATATTCAATAGAAGGTGTGATAATCTGTGGGCGAATAAATTTTGATGTGGGCCCCAGAATTGCAAGGTTCAGTAGCCCATATGGCTATCAAGGATTACAAGTTAGTTTAAAACCCTGCTGCAAACATCCTCATGAATTACCTGTAAGTCTGTGATGTCTGCATATAAGATATCATATCTCTCTATGATCTTGGTTCGGACAAACTCCTGAAATTCTGCTCTCTGACTCTGGAACTGGGACGTGTTAAAGTAGCTGCAGGATTCATGAAGCGCTGCCTCACCTGTGAAGTGAGAACATTATAAATGATGGTAAAATATCACCTTTTCTATAAGTCATAGACACATTACAGAATTCTCCAGTGGCAGACATCGTGGTAAATACAGTGATATAAGAGCAAGTAACTTCATTTTAATGAAGGTTTAAATACAATAAAACCATAAACACAGTAATCATACAGCTATGACTTTTTCCTTTTTCTCTAATCTAATACAAACCAGCGTAAGTCAAGACTGTCTTGTATCCTGTGAAGTTCCTGAAGTTCAGAATGACCGTTCGTAAATTAGCTGAGCGTACTTTGTACTGGTATGTGACATCAAGCTTGATCTGAACACCATCCTTATTCAAGCACTAAAAATATTCCAAAGGAAGTTTATCATTCTTAATACTTTTATTTTTAAAATAGTTGTGAAACACTTTATCCTAACCTAAATCAGTATGTCGACATGTATTAGCAGTATAATTGCACAAGTTAAATATGAACATGAAAAAATTGTCCCTCCCAATAGCCACATCAAAGGATGACTGCACTCAACGCCGGTTTTTGGGTCTTTTTCGGTTCTGTTACTTTTATATCAAAACCTTATTTCACTTTTGTATATTTATGAAAGAATCCTGTCAATTTGGAACCAAGTTTAAATCTTAAAATGATTTTAGACTGTGATACAATAAATTGATTCAATGTTTTTTATCCTTACTGCTTTCCAAATATAGAGAATTTACACTTACCTGCCCTTGAATGAACATTAGATATGCATGAGAGGTGGAGCTAACATTTTAAGAATGTGTCTAAAATTAGACTTGATAAATAACAATAACATGTTTGGAAAAAAGAATGTGATCACTCTTTCCCATCTCCCTCTCCATTCTATATGGCACAAATACACTTCTGACAAAGGTTTCAAAATGAAATTAACAATATGAGCACGTCCATATAATTAAAGCATATTTTATATCAATGCCAGATGACTTAACGTGTTCGAACACAATGTCCTTGTTAGCACAAAACATGCTTCCTTACAAGTCACGTGACAGAATTTTGTATTCACAGAGTTACCTGAGGTAAGAAATCACGTGGGGAATTATAATATTCAACGTCACAACCCTTGGTTACAACACAAAGAGCGGATGTAAGAAGAAGCAGTTTTTTTCTCTTTTTAACCATGAGCGCATGTTTGTCTATTAATCTCCTTTTGACATATTATTATTTATGCAAATATACAACTACTGTTAAACGTAGAACAATAGACAAACATGTGCTGACTATGTATGAAGTCAGTAAAAAAGTGGGCGTCCTCATTATCGAACGGAGATTTAAGAAACTGTGATGACCCCTGCCTTTGAAAACAAATTAGAACTTCGTAAATACACACTTTTATTAAACGTTATTACATAAAGTTGTAGATTGGATGTTGACCATTCTTGCAATGAAAAGAAAAATGCTTGTTTTGAAAGTTTATTTTGTCGCAAATTTCGCATGTCCTTAAGTGCAGTCATCCTTTGTAAAGAAATCACTTTCTTTCACAATCATTTGAAACAGTAAAATTATGTTCCAAGCATCACAACCATATAATGGTGCCTCATAGCAAAAGAATTTAATTTTCATGATTTTGGAAAAGTACTAATATTTATAGTGAAGCACATCTCCTGAATCAAAATTTAGATTAATTTATTTACATTTGCAAATGTTTTCTTTTATATATCACTATTAAAAGCAATGCATATCTACATCCATATAAACATGGATTCCGCGTGTCATAAACGTTTGACGTAATTTCTCATAAAGGGTTGACGCACAAACAATGGATCAAATATGTGCCATAGAGTTCAAAAAATAAAACATTTCACGCATTAAAGATTATAATCAGAAAAATATAAAATAAGAATAGGGCCACACCAATTTAATTTCTTGTTCCTCGTACATTTGATGAAAAAAGTACGAGCAGGTGAGCTGTTAAATAATAATATCATTACTTTTTGTAGGCAAAATTTTTAGGCGAAGCGTAAAAAAATTTGAGCAGACAATTATATTTTTTCTGATTTGCAGAGTAAGCAGATTTAAAAATACGAAAAATAGAGCAGAAATGGAATAGAAAATAGCACAGAATTTCCATGGTGCGGGAAATTGAAATTAATATTACAGTGGCTTCCATTTTATCGGATAGCGGTTTAACGAATATTTCGGCTATTTCAATATAATATCAGAGCACAAAACCATTTCTTATATATTTATTAATAATTTCACCTGATATTCTGATGAGAAAATATTGGAATTTCGTTTTATCCGATACAAAAATTTGGACTATCATAGTGTTTTTTGATAATCAGCACCTTGTTCACACCTCCAACTTCGTATGTGAAGCCTTTGTTTACACAGTTTGACACCAATTACCTTGACTGGCTTGAGTACGACAATGAGGGGATTAGTAACGGCTGGACGCACACAGGCACCTTACCTGTGTCAATAATGGGCATAGTAAATAGATATGTTTTGATTACAGTTGTGGTGATCAGCTTGGGTTCAATGATGCACTTGTTAATTATGACAATTATTTGCAATTTTTTCGGCGTGAAATTTTAATTATTGAACTGATTAGCTTGTGTATGACAATTTGCTTGGATAATGAAATAAGCCTATTCAATCGTTTAACTTCAATTGGCTTAATATTTATTCACTTTTCAGTGCAAAATTTATGGTAAAAATCACAAATGGCCCGTTCTATAAAAATACGTCTCAAAATTCATACCATCTTTCTCCACATGGCTCTCAAAATCTCTCTTCAGCAGACAAGAACGAGACTGGTAAACTCACACACAGTATAAAATACGTAACCGTATTAAAGAAACAAATAAAAATGAAACAATTACATATATTTAATATTTTTGTTTATTTTTAATTTACAATCTATCCAGGGAAAAATAGTTTACGGTTATTAGTCAAGCATTTAGTCTACTTCCGTTTCCAAAATGGCGACCATCGAAGAAGGAATGTAAACATGTGCTGAAGAAAGATGGCAATAACTATCAAAGAATATATTCTATACGTCAATTTATTTGAAAAAAAAATTTCATATTAAATTCATAAGTAAGTGAAATAAATTATTTTTAGTAAAGTCATTAAGTAAACATGTCAAAAGAAAACGAAAGTGCAAGCTTGAAAATTGCTACGATGTATTATCAATACATGTAGCTCTATACATCTATCTTTGGACTCGGTATGGAGCAATCGGCTATTCTAATTTTCGGCTATTCGGATAAAACTAGGCTGACAACTGGACTATTCGATAAAACGGGAACCACTGTATTTGTATACTTTTGTTTAAATACAAGCGTGTGGGTCCGACGAACAAAAAATTTTATTGGTGTGGCCTAAGTCATAAATGTAAATATAAGTAATAATGTAATAATGTATCATTAGGATATAAATATGGGTTGGTACGAGATCAAATTTACCATAAAGAGATCAATATTTCCATAAAGCCCTTCGGGCTTTATGGAATTTGATCTCGTGACCAACCTGTATTTATATCCCCATAGATGTTTAAAAATGATACACTTTACATTATTTCTTAATTAAACATGATGCCATACATGATAGTTATTGAACCTATAAGTTCTTTGATATGATATTGGTACAATGGCTCTGAATAAAAGTCTAAATAGATAGTTTATAAATAGATCAAAAGTTCAAAACAGAAAAACTAAATAATGTACAAATAATAAACTTCAACCATGTGAACTAAAGACAATTTCAGACTTACCTTCATAGAAAACTCGAGAGATTTGTAGACACTTGGGAAGATAATAAATTCAAACCCAGGAGGACCATTATGTAACCCCTCTCTTTCTGTGGACGACCCCAGATCCTTGTTGATAGTGTCATATTTTATACCAACTGCAAATGAGATTCATTTAATTTATAAATTCTTGCATAATGTTAAACTGAAAAAAATTTCTAAATATATTTGAATGTTTCTTTCTCCTATTGCCATGATTGCTGCTGTATATTTCATCACTCCCATTCAGTGATTATTTGTTTTTCTCTGACATACAGTAGAAACCTTAGTGAGTGTTTAAGTAATGGATATATGCCGAATACTGTTCTATATGTAAAATTATCAGACTGTTTGAGGCCCGTTAGGGCCGAAAACAGTCTGATAATTTTACATATATAATTGTATGAGGCATATATCTTACTTAAAACATTGCTATTTAAATGTCCAAAAGTTACCTGGAGAAGTCCGATAATTACACAATAGGAGTTATCATTGGCGAACAAACCTCGTTAAATGAAGAGATTCGCAGACTGGTTCTTTATCAGAAATGGATTTAAATTGGCTTATTCCCAGTGATGTATCGAAAACGCTTTGCAAAAAAAAAAACTGAATGGAAAGTGTTACTTTTGAGGAAGTTTAAGACTCCAGTTTCTTCTTGGATTTGCTATTTTTAACAACTTAATTTCCTCGCGTTCGCTTACCCTGAACTTTTTCTCCCTAACTTTTTTTTGGTTTCTGGACAAATTAAACCTTGATTTCACTCTTGTTGTTGTTTTTTAACTACTGTCCGATTTTGTTATCACTGCCGTCCGATAATATATTATTGGACTGCTAATCATTATTATCGGACGACTACAGGTATATTTTTAGACTGCAAGAACAAAGGCATGACGTCACAGCAATGTTTTAATTGGTTGTATGATCCACACAGTAATAATAATACACATGAAGATGTTAATTTGAGCAAAGGAAGAAAAGGGTTCCATAACTTGTGCTTGTTAGTTACCGGATATCGTTTTTCTACAACTCAATTTTTTTTAATTCTCAAAAGACACTTGGCAATTCTGACAATTAAAAAAAAAATTGAGATGGAGAAAAAAATTGTATTAAATAACAACTTAAGGAACCTAAATTTAGTATAAAACTTTGGCCTGGAAAATTTAGAGTCTGTATGATTACTTATACTAAAAAAAAATAAAGATAAGGGGGGCATAATCCCCAACATATTTCTGATGCTGCACCTGACAATCTTTTAGTGGTACAGGTGATGAACAATTCCTGCCACTTATACAATATGATAATATTTTTATTTAATTTTGTATTTATATTTAAGTAATTTTTACTTCCAGTCTTCATGCAGTTCCTTCTCAGGCTGGCAGGCTGAAACTCTTTCAAGGCCCAGTAATATAATGACTTCCTTTCATGACATTCTTACAAGGCCACAGATGTAGCTATTAGGGCTATTCTCATAATTAATCAGCTGACTTACTTTCATCAGAGGCTAGTTTCTTTAGAGATGTAGCTATTAGGGATATTCTCATGATTACCCAGTAATAACATCTGACTTACTTTCATCAGAGAATACAGTTTCTTTAGAGATGTAGCTATCAGGGATATTCTCGTGATTACCCTGTAATAACATTTGACTTACTTTCATCAGAGGCTAGTTTCTTTAGGGATGTGGCTATCAGGGATATTCTCGTGATTACCCTGTAATAACATCTGACTTACTTTCATCAGAGGCTAGTTTCTTTAGGGATGTGGCTATCAGGGATATTCTCGTGATTACCCTGTAATAACATCTGACTTACTTTCATCAGAGGTTATAGTTTCTTTAGAGATGTAGCTATCAGGGATATTCTCATGACTACCCAGTAATAACATTTGACTTACTTTCATCAGAGGCTAGTTTCTTTAGGGATGTGGCTATCAGAGCTATGGTCATGATTACTAATGCCCCGATCACAACCAATACTGCTACACATTTTTTATCAGCCATGGCTCACCCTACAAAAATAAAATCATTTAATTTTTTTTCCTTTTAATTACATAAAATGCAAAAGCAATATTAAGCATAACATATTACCGTATAAGTGGAATTTTTAGCTAGATGCAAATTAGTGATTTATCCATAAAAATTTAAAAGTATTTTTAGCGAGAAATAATTTAAGCAATTTCATAATGTCCAGAAAAATAGCTAAAACCATCGATACAGAATGAATTGGTTGCGATATTTAATTTTAGCCACATCAAAACTCTCACTAATAATGCCAAAATTAAATCCTCGCTAAAATTTCTGCTTATACAGTATCAAGGATGAAATATTCAAATGATAGAATAAGAACAGGACTGGGTACAATAAAAAGGTATGCAGTGTAATATGGTAAATGTACTATATTTCATTATTTGGCTTGTACGATATTTGGCGGAAATTTATTTTACAACAAGATAGCGTAGGTTTGATTTAGCGCATTCCAAATATACTTTACATGAACATGATGAATAGTCCTATATATAAATTTTTAGAAGACATTTAGCGATGTACTTGATTTAGCAAAAGCCTCTTTCCGAAAAGGCACTAAATAGAATACACAGCCAAATGTAACATGTTTACAGTAAATATTAATTTATTAAATCAATCGATTGCCATTAAACTATCTTCATTAAGAATTTAAAATTCACACGTAAAAATCATAAATATTAAAAATCTGTTGGATCCAGCCTTTGTTGATAACCACCACACGTTACTCAAACTTAGATTTTACCATGTTTACTGCTGTTTCTCAGTGAAACATTTTTAAATTATGCCCCAAAAATTGAAGATCAAGCATGTTTAACATAAGTCGTTAGAATTTCAATTAAAAACAACATCTCTCTGTCCACTATCATCTCATAAAATCACACACAGTAAAACACGCAGCAAACATGCCAATAATGATGTAACAAGCAAAGAGAAAAATGTGACAGACCAGACCAGGATTTGAACCTGGGCAACATGAATCTCTAGTCAGATTCTCTATGAACTGAGCCATCTGGACACTGGCAATCTAATCTGCCTGCCTGCCACATTCCTCCCACCTTAAACATGTTAAAGGTCATTGCCCCCAAAGACACCAACCCAAGTAGGTCTTCCAGAGCCTATTACAGCACCAAATGTAACCCGGAGGAGAAAAATGCAACGGAACATATCAGGAATGGAATCCAGGTCTGTGAATTACTAGTCAGGTGCTCTATATAAATGTACTAACTGAACATCTGGCCACTGGTGATTGAATCTGTCACATTGAATTTACACTTACAGTGAAGTTATTTTCATTGATTTCCCTGTAGTTTTCAAACGTTATGAACTTATCGGATATAATCCCTGACACTTCACAATAAGATCAGTGTGTTTTACAATAGATAGTGCAGTATCACCAGGTACTGTTGTTCACATCAAAACTCAGGGACATTTGTATTTAACAAATTTTTTTTTATTTGTTTTATTCAAATTTTGTCTGCAAAACTTAAAACAATATATGATAACTAAAGCAAGCAATTTTATTTTTTAGAGTGAAAAAAAAAGAAAAGAAGAGGCCCATGGGCCACAGCGCTCACCTGAGTTAATATGTAAAGCTTTGATCGCCTGTCATGATTTGAACAAACTTGAATCTACACTACCTGAGGATGCTTCCATATCAATATGACTCATCATGGCTTTGTTGTTCTTGAGAAGAAGATTTTTAAAGATATTTCCTATATATGTTCTTTTGTAAAATTTTGATCCCCCATTATGGCCCCACCCTACTACTGGAGGATACCTTGAACAAACTTGAATCTACAATACCTGGGGATGCTTTCTTATCAATATGACTCATCATGGCTTTCCTGTTCTTGAAAAGATTTTTAAAGATTTTTCCTATATATTCCTATGTAAAACTTTGATCCTCCATTGTGGCCCCACCCTAACCCCGGGGGTCATGATTTGAACAAGCTTGAATCTACACTATGTAATGAAGGTTTCACATAAGTTTCAACTTTTCTGGCCCAATGGTTCTTGAGAAGAAGAGATTTTTAAAAGATGACACCAAATTTTCACCAATTCTTAATTATCTCCACTTAGATGAGGGCATGGCCCTTCATTTGAATAAATTTGAACCCCCTTCACCCAAGGATGCTTTGTGGCAAGTTTGGTTGAAATTGGCCCAGTGGTTCTGGAGAAGAAGTCAAAAATGTGAAAAGTTTACAGACAGACGAACAGACAGATGGACAGATCGATGGACTACAGACAAAATGTGATCAGAAAAGCTCACTTGAGCTTTCAGCTCAGGTGAGCTAAAAACCAGAATAAGTTACCAATCTACTACTGTATAACATTGTTGTTAACAATATGCATTTTATTTCTATATCCAAAAATAAAGAAATGAATTGGCAAAGGGATTTTTTTCATTAAAGTTAAAGCACATCATATATGTACATAAATAATGTTAAAATAAATGAAACATTCAGTAATAAACAGGAACTTGCCCTTCAGGGATTACAAACTATAAACTGATAGGCCTAAAGGTTGGGTTTTCCTTCCTGCGTGTACTTTTTATGTTGCCCCAGACTCAATGTTACATGTTTAGATAAGGTCTATTTATTTCTTAATTCATAGGTGGACTTGACAACTATATATTTACGTGACGAAATATAGTAATTTTAGCTGAGTAATCTTTTTTTGAGCGATATTATTATGAGTTATTTACGTGAAATGGGCGCTGGTCACAATGGTTAACGTTACATGATAAATCTATAATTGCCTTTATTCCTGTTAACATAACTTTTTCCAAGGCGAAGCAGACAACATTATGACTTGATTATAGACTTTCAATTCACGCTTGTACAATAGAAGTAAATGAATTAATTTCTCACAAGGTTACTAACTAATACAGACCTGTGTTTATCGTTTATCCAATGGATTTCGAAATCACTACAACACTGTAAAAGTAGACATAATAGTCAAACTCAGAACGATAAGACTTAAAACTTCCGGAGATGGGAAATGCACACAGCTATGTTGTTTTAAAGAGTTTGTGTGGGGGAGGTAGGAAGGGGGGCTATAACAATGCTAAAAGCCTGCTGGTGTAATTAACATCGTCGCCATAGTGTAAGGAAACAGTGGCGGATCCAAAAGGACCCCCACCCCTCGTTACTAATAAAAAGGTTCAATCAAATTCTTTGAGAATAGATAAAAATGACGTAAACAATCTGTATTTTACGATGACACATATATAGTATTTGCATCTTTAATAAATAAATAAAAATTAAAGCGCTGAAGTGAAAAAAATGACCTGGGCAATTTTAACGGGTCAGTAGAAGTACATGTAAATCAAACATCTTGGGGGGGGGGGGCAAAAATGATATACATGTATTTTTTTTTTTACCATTCTAATTGATGTATGTACCATAAACCTCCATGAAAACAAGCAATGATATTTTTGAAAAATATGATTGCACCACCTCCGATTGAAATAATGACTATATTCTTACTAACAATGATGGATCGTACAGGATTAAGGTAAGACGATATGTTCCTCAAATATCTGTTCTGTATTTCTTCGTATTGTGTGGAAAATATTCAAAATTTTAACTACCTTCTGATTTCTAAACTGGTTTCCAACTGTCTTTAAAAAAATTGAAACACTAAAAAATGTGTTATTGGCTAATTAAGTCTTTTTCCAAAAGGATTTTATAGGAAAAACATCCTCTGGTATCTTGCACAAATGCCTGGTAAGGTACCTCAATTTTTTGTGAGTAAACATATTAAAGTAGCAATACTTCAATGACAAAATCTTAGAAAAAATTATATATTACTGAGGAACGTATCGTCTGTTCTTAAAAGGGCATTGAAGAACAACGAGTGTTGGGGTTTAGAAGAGGGGGAGGAAGGCGAAAATAATGAGGGAATGGAGTTGGAAAAGGCGCAGTGCCCCTCCACCCCCACCCCCAGAAATTTGTAAAACATAGCTGCAGTCACTTCAGAAACAGGCCCAAAGCAACGGTTTCTAAGGGGACAGCCCCAAAACTTAATTTACTGTCAAAATCCTGGAATTTGCCAGTGCTCAACCTTACAGCAACCAAAAATGGGGGGGGGGGCCAACCAGCATCTAAAGGAAAAAAAATACTATAGTGAAATACTAGATAGATCAGATGAAGATATACCCCCCCCCCCCCCCCCAATCCCGCGTTCTACGGGCCTGCAAAAACATTTTCATGACTTTTAGGAATTATGGAAATATATACATTATAAATAATCTTTTGTAACAGATGGGAGATTGTCCCCACTCAACCACTGCATGGTTTAGCATCTTGCAGGCTCATGAATAGCGATTCCCTGTAACCACTTAAACTCCTTTGCCACGCATGGTCACCGATTTCTATGAAACTTTGCCCATTATTACAACTTGACACCAGAAACATATATCAAACAAAATTTCGTTGCTATGTGTCTTGGTTGCCATGGTAACAGCCAGAAAAGTTGGAAAATTTGAGATTTTCAGCTACTTTTAATCTTTATTAAGCCTTAATAAAGACTAAGAAAAACAAACAAACCATTCTCACAAAAACATGACACCTTGTTGCCACTTATGCTATAAAGAAACTATTTAGAATTTATCTCTAAGTAAGTGGTAACCATGGGTACATTTGGAATACATTTTAGATGCTGAAAAACGCTCAATATTCACTTATGATAGGTGTTACATGATCAAACTAAAAAAAAACCCTTTGAAAACAATAAAAATATTTGACCTTAAGTAATTAGGTATTGGCAATATTATTCTAAAAATAACTTTCATGGTTGCCATGGTAACACAGTGTAACCATGCAAAATCTGTTGCTAAGATTGGGTTTATGCTACTATCTTGAGGAAAAACAATAAAATTCATGACTGGCACATATAAATCCTTAGGACCTTGCGACATCGACAACATAATAAAACTTGGGATTATTCATAGTTACTTTGCAGTGTAACCACGGAAACAATG